TAGCTAGTGTATCGAGTAGCTTGGAAGTCGCATTCGACACGAAACCGTTTAGGACTTAGCCGAAATTTCCTAAGTCGGACAACGCGTTGACGAAGCTAAGTTCGGCAATTTTTGTAGAACGATCGGGTTAGGTAGTGGCGTGGTTTTGGGGTTTCTTTTAGTAGCCTGGTATACCGGCTAGAGCATAAAATAGGTGGTCTAGCTACTGGATCGTCGAGTTGGGTTTTTGGGCAGCTTTAAAAGGCATGCAAGACACTATCCCGGCCGATTGCAGTTGCGGTTCATCAGGCGCGATCATCGGCGTCAAGTCGTCGCCGCTGTCACCGCTGCCACGCTGCTCTACGCGTGGGCCGCCGCCGTTCTTGCCCGTTCTTGCTTGCGCCGCTGTTGTTGCCACTCACGCACGCCCACGCACGCACGCCACACGCGTGGCGTGGCCACACACGCCGCTGCGCAGCACACGCCACTGCCGCCACCCACCGTCGTGCCACTCGCCGCCTATGCATGCTCGCCTGATGTGCCGATCGCCGTGGCGTCGTGCGTGGCCACGCTTGGCTCTGCCCACACATCACCTTGACATGCATGGGAGTGCCGCCTACTCTTGCCATCAATTCGGCGTCAACACTGCGCCGTTGCCTCCCCTGGCCGACGCCGTCCACTGAGGCATGCCGTCGTCGGCTTGCAGGTTGTGACAGTGCGGCCAAGCGTCTTGTGCACGTCTTGCTGTTCACCATCACCCGTGCGCACTTGCGCTTTGAGATGACAGCCGCATCTGCCGCGACAGCGCCGGGCCAACCTTGCCTAACTTCCATGTTCCTCTATCGCCAGGCCGTGCCGAGGCAAGCTCATAGCGTCGGCCAAATCTGTCTAATTACGTACACCCATGATTGGAGTAGAGACCTAGCTATGCGCTGAACCCTTCCACTGCTGCTGTCGGCCGTTGTCGAGCCTCAATTTGATGGTTCTATCGCCGTCGGTCATTTTAAGACCCCGTGGTAGCGCCGTCCAATTCCCCTAGCCCCGTCCAATTCGTTGCCATGGTACCTTTGCCCTGCTCCACTCTATCCCGTGTGCACCCTAGTCCGCCCCACTGCTGCCTGCTCAGCGCTGCCACCGTAGTCGCGCCATCGCCGCCATCGTGAGGCTTGTCGTGCGCACATGGCTAGGCTCGCTCGGTCAGTCTTCGGACAAGCCACCATGACCGGTAGGTCCGGGGTGAGTCTCTGTTAACCATCCTTGAGCTTGTTCACATTGTCGGTGCCTTGGCTCATGGGAACGCGCCTGCCGTCGCAGGGAGGAGTCTGCCGCCGTGGAGGGAGCTCGGGACAGCGTCTCCGTTCGCCGTATCGCCTCCCACCGCTTCGCATTGACGTCGAGGTGAGCATCGGCTAGTTAGATAGGGCTGTGAGGGTCTGGTGTGGCCGACGTAGCCGCCCGGTGCCAGCGCCGCCGCGCCGGTGCGCGCACGGGTGCCGGGGGACTCGGCCGTGGTAAAGAAGAAAAAGGGGAGGGTGCTAAATGTGAAGACAGTGACTCAACTAAATAGTGTTCGAGTAAGCTTCATGAAAAGAAAAGAAAACGGGGGTTCTTTAGCAAAAGCGCCAGCCGTGCGCGGGCTCCGCCGTGGGCCGTGTTCGCGCCCCGCTGCGTGGGCCACGCCGGGTGCTGCGCATGTGCGCGGGCGGGATGCCAGGGTGGGCCGAGCCGTTGCTCGCGGGCCACGCTGTGAACTCGTTTTCCATTTTTCCAGTGAATTACCAATGTTTATTCAATATAGTTTTTAGCTAAATTTTGATAAATTGTGGTAAATCTTGTAGATGTCCAAAAATAGTGAAACTAAGTTTGTCAGGTTCACAAAAATGTCATCTATCTGTTAGTGTAGTTAGATTACAGTTAACTATGATAGTGATGGGTTCATAAATCCAAACTAGAGAGTTTAGTATTATGTAGACTAATATTGGTAGAAATTTTTGTGATAAATTGGTGATAGCTATAGCTATGAAAATTTTACAGTAGGCTGACTAGATTATTTAATACTTGCTGTAAATTTTGTAGCCCTAGAGTAGGTTGATAAATAGAGTAGCTATTATCCTTGTTTTATCATATATAGATTAAATCGGTATTAGGAGTAAGAATACCTTTAGTTGCTGTGATAATGTATGTCATGCTTTATACTTGTTAGTGGTAACGGTAGATAACTTAGTACCTTAGCCGGTAGAACTAGCTTAGTAACTTGATAAGATATAGTTTATTTTAAGAGCTGCTGTTGTCATATTATTAAGAGATTGCATCATCATATCATGCATGTAGATCACGAGTTGGTAGAGTTCGTGCCCGTGGACGAACAGGATTACGAAGAGGTCATTAAGGAGTACGAGGAGGAGATCCTCGTGTAGGAGGGAGCCCCTGAGCCTTTTGGTGCTGACTTTGCTGACCCGTCGCCTGCCCAAGGCAAGCCCCGGTGTATAACTAATATTTTATGATAATGAATATATATATATATATGATGTGCATTTACGTTACAGGCATTTTATGAAAACTACATGCATAAATATATATACCTATGAGTCCTACTAGTATAGTCGAGTAGCTACTATGCTAAGGGTATCGGTAGTGTGAGTAACTTGCCGTTACTCACAATAGGTGATAATTATGATTACTCATGATAAAATGGTGGAAAGGAAAATGGTGACCGGGCAGGGATATGGTTGGGTACTGGTGGGTGTAAGAGGTTATGTCCTGCGGCTAACAGGGCATAGCTTGGTTACACTTTTTTCCTATTTGTGTCAATTAAGGACCGGTCATTGCATAAGTCTCGAGGCAAGTCACAGATCTATTATCCCGAGCACATACTTAGGTATGGGCGCAGGAAAGACTCATTTCTCTCTTGTTGTGGATCCGGCTCTATCCGGACCGACTAATTGGAGACGGAGATGGTGGAGGTTCTTGCATCGCATTGAGTCCGGGACTTAGGAGTGGGGGCTTGGAGTCCAAGTTTGGACGGGGACTTGGACACCCAGGACAGGAGGGTGATGGGTTAGCCCTGCTTGTGCCTAGGGTACAAGCGGGGCGTGTGTTTTTGGGGTACCCAGCTGGGGACATTGATTCGTGAATCGCCGGGCAATTTGGTACAGCTTGTTTTTGGGTCTAACACCGTAGTAAGAACTGAAAAATAAAAGGTGATGAAATGGAACTGGTTGCTCAACTCTTGCTTGAAAATAGAACAGGTGCTTACATAGAATGGATAGATAATAAATTAATACGGCTATTAATAATATCATAAGTAATGACTCACTAATAGTATTGCTTTCTACCAAAAAGAAAACCAGCAAACCATAAAGCTTATCATATTTCTTGGAGTCGGGAAATTATTTCCACTAGTCGGATAAGTCTTGCGAGTACATTGTGTACTCAGGATTCATTTACCACTGTTGTAGGTAATGCATGAGAAGTACCATTGTATAGAGGATTCTTCTGGTGGGCACAGACGGATCCTCGTTCCTTATCGCTAGCTGTTTATTTTTAAATTCCGCTATTTATTATTTCGCACTCTGACATTTGGTAATGTAATAATGTAATTTTTAAGAACTTCTGATGTATGAAATGGACAAGTATTGTAACTCGTTCTCATTATTGGATCCTTAGAAAAAATGTGGATCTTTCGGGTTCTCCCTTAGGGTGTGCCCGACGGATACCACCCGATGTAGCTTACTTTCGGGGTGCTTAGTGTCTGGTGAAAGACGAGCACCTCCATAAGAGTGTTATTTCGGACGGTTCTACCACACCAGAGGCCCAACCCTACCAGGAGGCAGGCTGCGGCGCCTAGACGCCGCCCCTAGGGACGCCGACGAAGAGAAGCATCGAGGGAACTCGCTCGAGAGTCCGCCCCCCACCGCAACGCAACAACGCCGGCCAGCAGCAGTAGAACCGGCTAGCTCCACCATGAAAACCAGCCCGGGGAAGGGGAAAGGCAGATGGCAGGAGAAGAGGGCCAAGATCAGAAGAAGCCCCAGTCGCCTAGCCCACCAATGTCCCCACCCCTTGCCGAGCCGGCCCAGCAACAACCACGCCGCGCAAAACCTCCAGCAGCCTCCGCGCCGAACTGCCGCCGTCACGCCCGCTCCCCAGCCCTCCGTGGATCTCGGTCAAACCACATCACTGGCACCGGGCGAGGAAGACGCAGGATGCCGCAATGGGAGCTCCAAGCACCCAGGCTGGAGCCGCCGCCGCGGACGCATGGGCTCCCCGCCGAATCCGGCAAAGAACCACCGGATCCTGCCAGCAAGCCACCGGATCCGGCCCCAAGCCGCCGGATCGAGAGGGGAGGAGGCCGGCGCTGGACCTTTTGGAGTCAGGCACTGACACTCGACGGAGGTCGCCTGCGCCGAATGGGGAGGCAGATCCGCCCACATCGGTGCCGACAGCTCCGCACGCCAGCTCCTCCGCGATGTCGCCTAAATCCACCGCAAGAACTCCATGGGAGGGAGGGAGAGGACCTGGCCGCCACCTTCCTTGCCGTCGACCGGACCTCCGGCGTCTGGCTCCGGCGGCAGCCGGGCCGAGAAGGCACGCAGAACGACCCTGCGGCGGCGGCGCGGGGGTGCCGCCCGAGTCGCCCTCAGGGAGAGCGATGCGGGGGGCCTAAGAAGCTTTTCCAGTCACCTTTGCCAAACTGAAACGCTGCGCTGCCCTGTATTTCAGATCGAGATAATCTGTACAGTTTAATTTCCTCCTCCTACAAACAAACACAAATTTTTGACGATTTATACACAATAAAACTAAGTCTACGCGCGCAGTCGACTGGATCGACTCAACTATCTATCCATCGAGACCTCCAAGAATCGATTCCTTCCTCCACATCCAATTGGTTCAACCATGCAAGTGCTAGCTACTGTAGGCAGCATGGAGCTGTACATGTTGGAGAAGTTCCATCTATCGTATCAGGTCCCTTTTTCAAGCAATTGATGAGCGCTCTCGGCCGGCCGGTTGCTAGGCTATAGCTACACCTGCAGCCTGATATCGCTACCTGGTTTCTGCTTTGGCGGCGTCGAGCCCGAGAGGAGCCTGGTGGTGACGGCCAACGGCGACAGCTTGCCGGGGCTGACGACCGCCGCGAGGGCGATGCCCCTCCTGCCCTTGCGCTCCTTGATGGTGTCGAGGCGCGGCGACCACGCGCGGCCCCTGGCGGCGCCCACCAGCTGCTCGTAGTGCTTCCTCAGCTCGGGCGTGCTGCACAGCGCCCCGGCGCACGCCTCGCCGTTGTCGTCCTTGTCTTCCTTGGCGGCCCTGCTGCTGGCCGTGATGGCCCCGATGAGGAACTCGGGCGTGACCTTGATGACCGTGCGCCCGTCGTCGCCCTTCACGTACTCGAACGGACTTCGGGGCCCTCCCGCGATGGACGGCGACGACGAGCCCCCTCCAGCGCCGCCACCTGCAGCCCTGTCGTAGGAGAGCGCGGCCAGCGACGCGGCGGTGACCGCGTCGTAGCCCTGCGGGAGGCGGTCCACGGGGAGCACCAGGTAGGTGCCGCCGCCCAGGAGCCTGTCCTCGATGGCCAGCACGGGCGCGGGGCGGCCCAGGTAGAAAGCTTCGGCGCGGCACACCACGGTGCCCGCCACCTCCAGCATCACCTGCCCCGCCAGCTTCCCGTGCCGGGCCGCCCGGGACTCCCCGCCCCACAGCACCAGCCGCGCCTTCCGCCGCCGCGACAGCAGCGCCCCGCAGAAGCACGGCGCCAGGAGGCAGCCATTGCCGCCCATGGTAGGTATACTACTCCTAGCTACTAGTAGGGTCTCCGGTTCACCCACTGGCGCGCGATGGTAGGAATAGGATCGGAGGAGCTAGAAGATGGCTACTACTAGCTTGCCTGGGTGTGTACAGGCACAGGCAGGCAGCACTCGTTCGGCTGCTGGGCTGGTGGCTGCATATATCGATCAGATCGGCGTGTGGACATGGCCGGGATGGGTACTGGGTAGTAGGTTTGACCGACGTGAGGGCTAGGGCAGTGCCTGGGCTGGGATGGGAGGGGTCGAGCAGCAGCAGCAGCAGAAGCTAGCAGCTCGTCGGCGGTCAAAGTCGACGGCGTGCTGCGCCGCGTGCCTCTCGTTTGCTTTAATTATTTTCGCCCGAGAAAAGGTCCAAGGAAAGCCTTTTTAACGAGACGTGCATCCTGGTGCTGCTGTTTTCGTTGCTGACTGGTGGGGCCGGTTCGATCAAGGTCTTTTCTGCCTTTAATGCGATCGATCGATCCATCGGTCGACCCGAGATGTGTGTGGTTTCAAGCAGCTGGTCTGGTGCTGTCAAAGTAATAACCTTGTACTAGTATACCACTGGCTAGTAATGCTGCTTTGATTTAACTTCTTATTAGGTTACAAATGGTTATTTGGTTAGTATGTACTCTTACGTCAGTCTAGTGCTAGAACTAGTAGTAACTTGTATGGCGCGGCTACCGAATAGTTGTACATGCCGTATTGGGGTGGATTACTCAACTTACTAGTCTATATGCGTAATTAACTGCGGTTTATGTTAAGATGAGACCAGTTGACATTTCTATCCAAGTTGCCGCATATTGTGGTTTATAGCTAAGAGTAGCGCCAACCTCACCTCTTTCTATGACTTCTTGTGTGCAATTTGTTTTAAAACATAAGTCGAATGAGTTTCATCCAAAGTCAAACTTCTCTCTAACTTTATTTAAAAGCAACCACAATCCATAAGGTTCCTTTGGCCATCACATGCTTGGTTCCTATTCCTCCTCATTCGACGTACATGCCAGTGGTCAGAAGGAACAGAGAGCTCTCCTCTCTTTAGATCTTTTAGGGTTTATGGTTTCTTTCCTCTGAGATGGCAAATATCTTTAAGTTACCTTACGTCGCTCGAGTGGCCCTTCCATTTACAACAATATCTCCATCACTAGGGATTGGTTCTCCCTTGGAGTTCCTCCTCGTGCCATGGCTTCTAATTTCTAGTCATTGTAGTCTCACACAACAACATTGGGGTTAGAAATCACCTCTGACATTAGCTAGGGAAGCTTGATGTTTTCTTCTCCTACCTACAAATGGAGAGGAGCTACTAGTCATCTCTGTTAGGGGTTTAGGTTTTGGGACATTGGCTTTCATAGCGGGCAACAATTATTGATGGTTTTACTAGATCTTCATAATCAATCTTATGTGGAAGGAGATGGTAGAGTTGACACTACCGTGTTGCAGTTAGCGAGAGAATTGTGTTCTATCGTGGACCTAGATGTGTTTTAGAGTAGATCTGATCATAGGCTGCACAACCTGACCCACTCGAAAAAAAACCATCCCACCAGTGCACTTGGGTCATGATTTTGAACCCACAACAGCTATCTGGTCAGGCATGGGTCACAAATTTTGACCCAAAAACTCGATCCAACGTAGACAAAATTGACCTGATTCTTATGTTGAGCGAGTGTGGGCCAAAAACTTGCCTAATGTTAGGTTCATGTTGGCTTTCGCTAGCCAAAGAAATGTCGAGTTTTTTTTGGCCTGCCCTAAACCCGGTACCTGAACAAGTCTATTTCAATATGAGTTCACATATGTTGGATCTTCTAGCATATTCCAAGTTTTGGGTTGCTCGACAATTCGATTGTCTAGCTATGGCACTTTGCATTGTCTTATCCATGTGACGCAACACAAAGGGTGAGACTATCAGAACATGGGAAGAGAGCCTAAGTTTTTCGTTATATTTTCTTTGCTTCATGTAATCAATCGATGTACCATGATCCACCATCTTCAATATAATCATCTTCCCTTCAAAAAGAACTTATTTAAGTGTTTTCACCAGTTTTATAGAAAAAATGCATGAACATTTACAACATTATATTACTTTCATTAAATCCGCCATGGAAAATGTCTTGATAGTGTATTTATTTGACAGCAGTATCAAAACTAGAGAAATTGAACTCAGGACAAAACTAAAATGACATATATTTTTGGAACCAAGTGAATATATTTTTATTGTAGCCTTTTTTTGTGCTTTCCTTTCTGATGGTACTCCCTCCGATTGTTATTACTCGGCGCTTCTGGCAATAGAATATAACTAGTTGCATGCCAATTTAACTGTTCGAAATGTCATGTATTAGTGACCGGAGGCTCTAAATGCATCCATGTTTTTCGACTTCCTCAGTTTCAAATTATAAGACGTTTTGGCTTTTCTAAATATATTTTAGTATGTATCTAGGCATAGTGCATATCTATATGTATAGCAAAAGCTACGTATCTAGAAAAGCCAAAATGTCTTGTAATTTAGAATGGATTGATTACTTCTTTTTTCTTCACTTTTGCCTTAGTGTTCTCATTTCCTTTTTCTGACGATGCATGAACTCTTATCTGGAGTTCTTTGGTTGTAAATGTCGCCGGGGAGACAACAAATTAGTTCAGAAAAAATATAATATACCCAAACAAATGTACTACATGAAACCGTACCGGATCACTAATTTCTTCTCGGTCCTTCGAACGAAACCATTTGGCCAAAGTTTTACCTCGTTGAATCTCATGCCAATTTTTCAAACCCTATTTCACCTATCTGAAAGGAATTCCAACCTATATGCCGACCAGCGAGATTGAAAGAATCAAGCTGAAATAATCAGGGCTTCCATATCCATGTGCTTGTCATCAACCGATCATCTTCCGGCTCTTACCACACTATTTTGTCAAGTTTTTTTTTCCACTCATTGCCGATCTCATATCCATGGATTGGATATTATATATATTAAAATCGTGCATTTATGAGTCACCGATCTTGATGTGGAGTAGTATAATATAATGTTTCTCCCATTACGATATGACGACTATGCATGATGAGTGATGAATATGCATGTGACACATGCATGCATCCCTAGAACAAAAGTTATATCCACCACACACAGGGATCTCAGGGCCAGTTTTGATTTTTCCTTTTCCATTCGTCCATGTCTAGAATTACCAAAGTTTTTAAGCTCTACAAATTTGTTCAGAATGACGTTTAATTCTTTTTTATCAGATTTGAACTTGTCCCATTTGGGTTGTGTATTAGTTTGAGTTCCAGGCCCAGCTTGCATTATTAGCTGTATATTTTTCTTTATATAAACTATGGTAATCCCTATGATCCGCCATTAAAACAAGATATCTGCGTGACAGTGGGCGGCTCCATCTCCGTCTGCTCCCCCGCCCTTCCTGATCAGATCTAGATTGCCATCTCTTTTCACTCTAATTTATCGCAATGCTATGGTCTTTGGCCAAATTGGAGGGGAATGGCACAAGATTGCTTAGTGGCTAAATTTTATATCTGCCCGGCTTCACAGCGTGGCCGACAACAGTGGTGACACGTAGGATGAGATACTCTTCGTTGACTTTGGAGCCTATGCTGCAGCATATGTGTGTTGTGACGACGATGCAGTGGGACGCTCAGGTCTCACATTTGAGGATAGCATGGTATGGTATGGTAAATGCCTCATCGACGGGGGCTATGACCGTGACACGAGGTAGCATGCTGTGATGGAGCCGCAGTATGTTGCATTGGTCTAGGTGTTTGCCGATGGTGTGATATGTATGAGATGCGCTTCGTTGACAAGGGCAAAGGTGGCCAATGTGATGTGACAGTGGTGTGGTACGTGTTTCATGACGTCCAACGATGGCACGGTATAGGACACGCTTCGCCAACTTTAGGGGCTACATCGGCAATAGCCATTGTCCGTCGATATGATAGATCGATGATGGCAGTGTATTCCTTCCTTGGATGCGTTTGTCATGGCCAATCCCTTGCGTGTTGGGTATAGACGCCCAAATGGGCAGCACAACACAGGCCCTAAAGGGCACAACACTATTGGTATTCAGCCGACACGACACTAAAGGCTAAACATGTTGTGCCATGCCACCCAACGGACCCAACCTTAGGCACAATCACACGACACTAGGGTGCACTAGACGTGTCGTGCCAGTACGTCCAAGCTACATATTGGAGCGATTTCTTTCCTTTTTTTTCTTGTTCTAGTTTTATTGTATCCATCAGTTTCTTAAGCTACACGCGTGTTGCTTTTACCACTTTTGAGTTTTGACTAATTCCACAACCCTCTTACAAGGTTGATGAAGTCTAGTAGAGAAGTTTGTATCCTCGTGTACCATTAGTGGTGAGTAATCTGACATGTATGAGGATACTTGGCTTTATTTTTTCACTCATTAATGTGGTCATTTAAATACCTTAGCGTACATGTTAGGCTAATTCTTTTCTTTGACAAATCCTAAGATAGTATACGTAGAGATGAGAATCCCTGCTCACGTGTCTACGGAGTATTATTTTGCACTACCTTGTAAAGCAAGTTGTTAAGAATTGGTATTTGTCCAACATTAATTGTCACTCCACGACTACGACTAGTTAAACGACCTGCAAGTAAAGGCAATTCAAACTAAGGTTAACTCAATGCAACGCCAATTAATTTAGAAACTCATTTCTGCAAATTTAGTTTTATTAATCGAGCTAGGTGAAATAATCAACGGTCAGTTTCTTAAGATTTTGATCAGGCCAGCCCTTGAAGAAGTAATAGGGAAAATTAAAAATAAACAACGCGGCCTTTGATGTTAGTCAAAACTGCTAATTACTCCGTGATTGGCTGTCTGGTGAAACATCACGGTCAGTGAGCTCACGAGAGATACGCCAGTGCCGTCACCAGAAACCAAAAAAAAAAAAGCAGCACCAGCGTGGGCCGGGGTCCCGAAAGTCGTCGTCTTCACATGGTGGGTGGACAAAAAGGTTTTGTTCAGAC